TTTTTTTTTTTTTTTTTTTTTTTTTTTTTGCATCCTCCCCCCCTTGCTGTTCATACGCACATTTATTATATGACCATGATAATGCATATAATTATACATCAAATATTTATACAAAAAAATATAAATTTAAAAATAAAAACAAAAAATAATTTTTTTTTTTAATTTTACCAATATATATTACAGTTACAAAAGTGGGGTTCGTTGTGGGCCACACGCGTTCTGCCCATTTGTAGAGCTCGATTCGGAAGGTTAACAAAAACGGTGGCTGCATTTTGCATGTGACGCATAAGAAAAATTTTGCTAACTACGTGAAGTGCGTGCTTTGGAAACGTACCATTTTTATCGTTCCCATTTTGATATGCACATTTAGGCGTTGTCAAGGAAAAAGGGGAAAATATAATTCGTGTGCAAAATGGCGCCATCCCATTGGGTATAGGAACAGTGCGGTTACCAAAATGAACAACTTGTGTCTATTCATTCGTTCGTGCGAATGTGTTTGTATGGTTCACAATCCGAGCCAAGTTATCTCAAATTTTGGTTCACCTGCTTAGCATAACGTACATGCACCTATACACGTTTTGGGAGACGCCGTGTAGACGTCCCTTTTTTGTGTACATTTAGACTGCAAAATAGGATGGGGAAAAAATATTAACTGTTCCACTTTGCGCAGCCTCATCAGGGTATAACCCCCCACAGGCAGGTAACCACGGTGACGCAGACTCACCTTCCAATAATATGAATGTAAGATGGGACGGATAAGCAATCGAAAAAGGGGTTAACACTGGGTGCACATAACGTTGTACATGAGCATATACATATGCATAGATCCTCCACCCTACTGTGAGGCTTTTTCTTTACCCTACGTGGCAACACCTTTGTGGCTGCTACACACCGTTACAATGCGCAACTTCTTTAATGTTATAGCGGCCGTAATGGTGGCAATCGAAAGAACAGTAAGTGCATATTTTTCTTTTAAAAAATTTACATGGCTCTGATTAGTGTGCCATTTGTAGGGACACCATGTATGTACTACATTTGGTGAACGCTTTGTTCCTTTTCCTTCTCGATCTAACTGTATGACATTGCTTCTGTCTCTGTTTAATTGGTCAGCTACTTAGCGCAAACGGCTAGGACTCGTCTCTTTGCCTACTTTCAGGCATATGGAGTAGGGATACGTAAGGATGGGGAACAACGTAAACGTAACAGCGCACGGAAACTGCGTCAATAAGGGCAGACCACTAATATTATGCGGCAAGCGAATTTGAGGGGGTACCACCTGAGGAGGGCGTATTGGCCAACTCGCAAAATGTGTGCAGTACGCAAAAATAAGTGAAAACTCAAACGGATGACGTAGTATGATCATATATATGGCAGAGAGAGCGCATGGTCTGAAGGTCAGCATCCTTCTCTTGGCCTCTTTGTCAGTATACTCTTTCGCAAAAAAAAAAAAAAAAAAAAAAAA